GAGGGAGACAGCAGAGGAAAGCAAACCTTCTAATCCTTTGGTTTCCTAGACTTCTTATGTCTAGAACTACTAGAAAATAAAGTTTCCATTTTTCAAGCTACCCAGGCTGAGATACTCTGTTGTGGCAGCCCAAGTAAACAAATACATAGGGGAAGAGGGATAACTTGTAATTGTTAACTTTAGGGAAAGTAGCAGTGCACGCTCAGAGACTAACTTCCATCAACAGTAGCGGGTGAACGTGGCATTTCCCATTCACCCAGAAAATAGCTTATAATTAAGTGCTATAGACGAGGTGCTGTACTAGACACCATTAATCAGCAATAAACTATTCAGATATGATTTGGTGTTTGGAAGAAATCCAAAGACTGATGGAGAAAACATAAAACTTTGTGTATACAAGAGAGCCTAACATATGAAGCATAGCTGGGTATCCTGATATCTTCTGAGGGAAATTGGAGAGCTGACACCTACATAGACGCTGGAGGGAAATGCAGAATGTCGCTCAATTCAGCCTGCACAAAGAACTTCTCCTCTGCTGACCACATTCATAAATCCTATAATGTTGAGGGGCAACCTACACTTAGATGAGTATATTTTGAACAGATGGAATGGGGCTTGGATACAAGTAAGCTATACAGACAATTATTAGTAAAGGTTTTCACCAATTTTCTGATGAGGAGTATCTTATAACTATCACCAAAACCATTGTAGGTAACTGACATTTACTACATACAGATAAAGCCAACACTAAATAACATAGAAAGGCTTTGGAGGTGGGTGAAATGTCAAGTAAAGCAAAGTTTACTCAGCACTACTGTGGTGCTGGCCCTGCTAGGCACTGAGGAGTGAGTACCAAGAAGTGGAGGAAAAGATAAAGGTGTCTGTACAACTGGTGAACTTGACTGGGTCATTTGATCCTTACAAATCCATTTTGATATGCGATATACCAAAATCATAATATCTATTTTAAATGCTTCTTATAAGCTTTAAATATTTTCAAAAGAAAGCAAAAAACATTTAAAAATAAGTAAAACAGTATCTGGCAAATAGCTATGAGCTAAATTTGTTTCCTTCTCACATCTTTTTTTTTTTATTTTAAAGAGAAAAGAACAAAAACAAAGACAGAAAACAACACAAAAACAATAAAAATGATACAGAATTTCAAAGATGATAGGAAATAATAATATTTGTTGTATTACATATTGTTATCTTCTAAGTAGTTACTCAGATTACCAGATACAGGCATGCAAGATTGATCAAACAATTAAACATTAACTATTCCTTTCAATAAACCAATAGAAATTAGTAGCTATCTTGTGTGTGTGTGTGTGAGTGTGTATATATATATATATATATATATATATATACAAAAATATATATATATGCAAAACCACCAAGTTAAAAAAGCCCCTTTGGCTATTGTTCAAATGAGTTAGCAAATATCATAATCTTCATTGCCAAACTCTAAGACCTAGAGAATAATCACTGAATAAGTTTGGATCTTGTTTGAGTAAGTCAGCTCTTTCATTATCATGGATAAAAAATTTTAGAGTCTTAAGAGTAATCCAGAATGTATGAATATATTTATTATTTCTTTTATCTTTCTACTACTCTCTTATATTTATAGTATTTATCTCAGGATGAAGAGTAAAATCATTTGTTGAAAGAAGAGAAAGAAAGGGTTGTAAAGAATAATCTACAGGTGCTAAAGTAAAAACATCCATCCTTTTAAACATTAAGGATCACATTTTAGGGGCTGGGGATTTAGCTCAGCGGCAAAAGCGCCTGCCTGGCAAGCACAAGGTCATGAGTTCGGTTCCCAGTACCGGAGAAAAAAAAAAAAAAAAAAAAAAAAAAAAAAAAAGGATCACATTTTATGTACAGAAAATATGAACATAATTTTCAGTAATATATAATTAACTCCCTCCTCTTTAAGAACAAGATGACAGCAATTGAAGATAGAGGGTAAACCACTCTGTGTAACTTCAAGATACGTACTGAAAATAGTAGAAAATATATAGTTCAGACAACATACCACCATTCATGTATTAATCTGTGTTGTACTGAGCCAGATTTTCAATGTACCAAAGCAATTGCCGGTTTGTTTACAAAAGCCAGTAAGAGCTATTCCTTCCTTTACACACTTTAGAGGGGCTTCAAAACTTCATAGACTCCAGTGGATTGACTCATACCCCCAAAACTTTCACATAGGTACAAGTTGCTCTCCAACTTGAAAATCTAGCTCAGTCAATAAATTGGAGCATATAAAGTCGCCATGTTCCTTTCTTATTTCTGTCATCCTTTCCCCTTAACTAGTCTATCTCCAAGGAATCAGGAAAATTTTGATTTGAGATAGAATGCTAACTTTCTTAATTGGGTGCCCTGCTTTTATTCCAATGTAAAATACTCTCTAAATAACCTTTCTAAATTTACTTCCTTTTTTTTTTTAACTTGAAACATAGAGTTGAACTTTCATTAGATTTCTGGCCTGTCATATCAATCAGTTAATTATTTTATTCAGCAAATATTTAGTCTTCTGTATACAAGGCAAAATGTTAAGCTCTTTAGAGATCACCAAGAAATAAGAAATCCAAGTGATCGTTAGAGTCAAATAAAAAACACAAAATACTAAGTAATACCTTCACTTTTTTCAATACATTTCGCACATGTACACATACTTGTACTTTTTTCATTATATAGTAGTGGTCTATAATCAAATAAATAAAGCTAACAACTTATCTTTTCTGCATTTGGCTGAATGTAAAATATTCTTAGCTGTGATGTATAATGAAGCTACCCACTGTTCAGAGATCCCTACAAAATCTACATGCAGTGGAATTCATTTAAGATAGAACAATCACACAATTTGAACACAGCCTAAGCAATATAATAAGCAGAGAACAATCTTGTGGGTAATACAAAGTTTTCTTAAACAGATTGATAACCTCCTTACCAAAAGGATGTTGGCAGGCACAATTTTCACAGTTTGTTCCCTCCTGTACAACTTACACACCAAGTGAGTTAGTACAATTATGGAAGTTTGTGGTAAAGGCCCAGAATCCCTGTAGTGCTCTCATAGGAAATCATCCAATAATACAGTGACATCTCTCTCTACATCATAGTTTATATGGTTTGTCAGAAAATATATACACTGCATTGAAATGAAGAAATAAACAGAGTTCATGCGTAGAAAACAAGGCTTACAAGGAAAGGGAAAAGCATGTCATTAGTTTCCATAGCTTTAATTTCTTTCCCTTCCCCATAGATATCATTACAAATCCTCTACTTTATGCTTATGGCCAATGGAATGTCTCAGTCAGAAGTAACTTATTCCTCCAATATGATTCCTATAACTCCGGTCATGACCTTTCACATTTCGTTTCTGATTCCAAAGCTGACTTAGTGGTCGTTCAAATCATGAAAGTGTTAAGTGGGAGTAGTCATAAATCAGCATTTTAAAAGTCTGCTGCCAGCATGAACTCTATTTAAAAGGGGAGGGGAAGATTTAAGGCCACCCTCAACAGGGTTTCACAGTTGTTAAATTAAGCTTTCTAGTGATCTGGTAACTGAAACATGA